TGTACAGAGGGCCCAGAAAGGCCTCCTATCAGAACTCGACCTCCCACGAGATTTTCGCCAACGGGACAATCATCGCAGGCTGTTCGTGCGCCACAGGGCTAGCGAAGCTCATGACGGTGACAGTCCCTCGACACGTGGGGGTTCGGTGCAGCTCGCTCAGGATCAAAAACCTGGTGGACGATATCAGTCTACACTCGATCATTGGCCCGCAGACGGTGGCCAGGGAGCTGAGTTTCGCTTTCAAGGAGACGGCGGGCCATCCCCAGGCCCGAGGGCTACCGCTTTCGTGGGACAAGATGGGATTTCTATGCAGTGACCCGGAGACTTTCAGCCTGATCGAGGACGATGTTGCCGATTTATGGCCTGCTGGAGTTCCGTTTCCAAGACGGGGTCAATATCATCGGGACCTTGGGGGAGATGCCGTGGATGGGCGATATAGGCGTATAGGCACACAGCTCACTCGCATTCGTGATGCCATGGCTAAAGGGGACAGGCTCCTGGCTCTCAAAGGTCTTGGTAGGCAACGTTCAGCCGTACACCGCTCTGGGGTCCTTTCCAAAGGCGCTGCGGGGATGCTCCATCGCAGGGGTGCCCAATAGCAGGATTCAGCAGCTCAGGATGTCCTTCCTTAACGCGGGTGCGCGGTTCAAGCCAGGCTCGTCAGTGGGCCTCTCACTTATGTGTGCAGAGAACGGTTGGCACAACAATCCCCTTGTCATTGCTACGTCTGATGCCATACACACGTACATGGTGATTATGTCCACTGGGACGTTGACTTCATCGCTGGTCTCGGCACTGATGGTTTCAGCTATCCCGTTGGTGGAGGATCCGCAGGCCTGGTTGAAATGCAAGAACCCCATCGCGGCGTTGATGCTCAGTCTGTACCGAATAAGTTGGAAGCTGCTGGACCCGTTCACTCTCCTTGATGATGAAGGTTTCTCGTGGGATCTCAAGTTCTATTCGGCTAGCTGGATATCTCATATTGTGAAGCTGGGAGTACGGAGGCAGATAGACCGTGACGCTCTTGCGGCTATGCAAGGAGCGGGCTCAACCAGGACGGGTCCAATCTCTCGGCAGCCGATATCGGACGCGCTTCATGGCAAGCGACTCTCGCCTCATCAGCGTCGATCACTTCGAGGGGTGATTACGGGCGGCCACTGGACGCAGGTCAGGATTGCCCGTGCCTTCACTGGACACTCGTCACTATGCACAAGGTGCCAGTCGGCGCCTGGCACGTTATTCCATCGGTTCTTCGTGTGTGACGCGTTTGCTGCCCAGAGACGGCTGTTCATCCCCTTGGAGGTTCAAAGGGCAGCGCACAGAATGCTCAGTGAACCTGAAGACAGGCAGGATCGATTCGCGCGGGGACTTCTTCCACACCCAGGGCAAGTATTCCACGGTGCAGGCCGTTCCAGTCAACATGATCTGATTGATGTGGATCGGCGTAGGATCACGTCTGTCGATGGCGGAATTGTGTTTGTGGACGGCAGCGCCTTCTCGACCCGTGTGCCTGAGTTGCGGTCAGCGGGGTGGGCCGTCACGGTCTACGATGCTGAGCGGCGCAGAGTTGCACGATATCACGGCTCCGTCCCACGGTGTGAAGGGCCAAGCCAAGTGGCCCGAGACGGCGAGGACTATGCGATCATGAAGGCCAGCCAGCTGGTCATGGGCTCATACCAAGTCATGTCAGATTGCAAAGGATCGTTGGATGTTGCCACAGACTCGAGGTAGCAAGTGGGCCAGGCAATCTGAGAGCACACCTGTGGAGGCGCACGAAGATGAACGACGATTTCTGCCGCGCGCCCGTTTTGCACGTCAAGGCGCACACGAGTATGTCGGACGTCAGGGAAGGTGTCATCAGCCAGTTCGATCGAGCTGGCAACATGGGAAAGAGCGTGTTCTACCGCTGCTGGCGGAAAACCGGGGGGGGTCACTACCGGTTCGAACCCCTCCCCCCCCCCCCCCCTCCGGAAAAACGGGGGGGGTCACTACCGGTTCCCCTCCCCCCCCCCCCCCTGCTCATCATGAAAAGGGGGGGGGGTCACTACCGGTTCGAACCCCTCCCCCCCCCCCCCCCTCCATCCGGAAAACCGGGGGGGTCACTACCGGTTCGAACCCCCCCCCCTCGAAAACCGAGTGGGGGTGCGGACAGTGGTGGGGACGGTGTTGGTGGGGACAGTGGTGAGGGGATAGCGGGACAGTGGTGGGGACAGTGGGACAGTGGGACAGTGGTGGGGACGGTAGTGGTGGGGACAGTGGTGGGGACAATGGTGGGAACAGGGGGGGACAGTGGACAGTGGTGGTGACGGTGGTGGTGGGGACAGTGGTGTGGGGACAATGGGAATGAGGTGGAAACAGTGGGACAGTGGAGGGTACAATGGTGGTGGGGACAGTGGTGAAGGCGGTGGCGAGGACGGCGGTGGGACAATGGGACAGAGGTACAGTGGGGACAGTGGTGGGGACAGTGGGGACAGTGGTGGGAACAGTGGGACAGCTCAGTGGGACAGCGGAGGAGTCAGTGGGACAGTGGGGACAGTGGGGATAGTCGGGCAGTGGTTGGGGCCGTGGAGACAGTGGGGAGAGTGGAACCGTGGTGGGAACAGTTCTGGGGACAGCGGGGACAGTGCGACAGTGGTGGGGCCACTGGTGGGGACAGTAGGGGCGGTGGTGGAACCAGTGGGGACAGCGGTGGTGAGGACAGTGGTGCTGGGAACACCAGTGGGGGATGTGATGCGGACGGTGGTGGGGACCGGGAGTCGTTTGCTGGCGGTGAGTAGGGGGGGGGGGGGGGGGTTCGAACCGGTAGTGACCCCCCCGGTTTTCGGATCCGGAGGGGGGGGGGGGGGGGGAGGGGTTCGAACCGGTAGTGACCCCCCCCGGTTTTCGGGGGGGGAGGGGAGGGGGGGGGGGGGGGGGGGGGTTAGGGTGAGGGGGGGTTTTGCCGGGGGAGAGGGGGGGGGGGGGGGGGGGAGGGGTTCCAGCAGGGGGGGGGGATTTTCGGAGGGGAGGGGGGGGGCGACCCCCGGGTTCCGGAGGAAAAGGTTGGCAATTTTCCACAGTAAAGCGGCGGTGGATCACGCTCTCTCCAACATGGAGGCCGACAAATTGGCCAAGGCTGGGGCCTCCTTCCATCGAGCATCGGAGGTTCAGGAGCGCTTCGTTCGGGGCGCCATGCGCCTTCACAGGATGTTGCTTGGCTACATTGCACAGTTCGAGGTGTGGTTCCACGAGCAGGGAGATGACTTTAAAGATTATATTTTCCCCGAGCCGCAGGAGGACGATCTGGCCACTCCCCAACAGAGGGCGGCGGTGAAAGAGCCTCTGTTGCCGTGGCCTTGGCTGGTGCAGAAGCACGCGCTGCTGGAATACCCTGTGGTTGGACACGACCGCTCGTTGATCTTCTGCACCAGCTGTTGCAAGTACTCGGACACAGGCAGCCTCAACCATCGGGGGCTAGACAGCGTTTGCTGTGGCAAAGAAGGGGGCAGTGGCAGGATTGTGGAGAACACGAGGCACTTCAGCAACCTCAGGCATCCTCAGTCGCTGCACAAAGATATTTCGCTTGAGGACGCTCGGAGACCTTCTGGTAGAGTTCGAGCCCTGATGTGCAAGTCAAAAGGTTGGCGGGATCCGCTGGGAGACCTGCCTGAGATCGACTTCAGGCCAAAAGGTAAAGTCCGAACAGAACCCCAGCGTTACCTGGATACTAGTTTCATTTTGAAAGACCATGGTTTATTATGCCCTGAAGCATTGGAGTTGGGTGCTCCACACGAGTCGGATAGCGATGACGAGGTGGACCCCGACATGGTATGACGGGTCGGCGAGGAGGCCGACAATAGTCAGGATGGTGAGTGCCAGCCCACTGCGGGTGAGTGCCCCTCAAGGGCGTGTGGCTGGATGGTTTGTGGTCTGGATGCGGTGTTCGACCCTCGCAGGACCCACCAACTCGTTCTCGATGTTCCAGCTAGGGCGAGGCTCGGTTTGGCCAGGCCCAGGCACTGAGCGAACTCGTCGTGGCTTGCCGTGCGGCTCGTGCGCGGAGTTGCATTTCTGCGACACGCTCGGTTTCCACGTGCTCCTCTGTGGCGTTGGCCACGTGCTGCACCACGTGGACTTGGGCTCCCCGCTCGTGTCGCTGGGAGCCCTGTGGGAGCTCTTCCCCGCCGTGGCGGGCCTCGTGCAGGTGAGCACGGGCCTGCCGCAGGCCCCGTGCTCCCTGGCCGCCCGCGCGGCCGCTTGCTGGGGTAGGCATGCTCCGCGCTCCCCGCCCTGGTGCCTGCAAGGTGGTCCTGGCCTTCGGGCTCCATCGTGCAGGCGCTAGGGGGGGGGGTCGAGGGGTGTGACTGCCCTCCCTCTGCTCTATCCAACTGCCCCTTGGCTTTTGCTCGCTCGCTCGCTCCTCCTCCTCGTCCTCCTCCTCGTCCTCCTCCTCCTCCTCGTCCTCCTCCTCCTCCTCCACCACCTCCTGCCCCCCGAAGCAGCCAGAGGGGCGGAGAAGCCCCCCCAAAGAAAGCCCCGAGCCTCGAGCCTCGAGCCTCGGGCCTGCCCCCCCCCCAGCGGTGCCCCCGAGTGAGCATCGCTTCACCGACCCTCCAAGCCCAGGAACGTGGCCTGGGCCCCCCTGGCCGACCTGCCCCCCGTGCATGGGGAAGCACATGCCGTCGCCTTTGGGCCTCGGGGCGCACATTGGCAACGGGGGTGCTGTGGTTGGCGGGAGTCTGGCCCGGTAGGGATGGGGCTGGGGATGGGGACTCGCCGCCATCGCTCGGACACTCTTTCCCCGTGCACTGTTCGATCTCGAGCGCGCATTTCCCGCGAGATGATCCGAGGAGCTCCTCGATGGTCCCCGCCGAAGACAAGAAACCCTCCCCCCCCCCCCAAAAAAAAAAAAAACCCGTCCGAGCGATGCCAAGGAGAGCCCGTCCCTCCCCAGCGGTGCCCCCGAGGGCCGAGAAGGCACCGCGAGGTCAGGGCCCCGGGGCGCCCGCCCCCGCCAGGGCCTGCGCCCAGGGCCGCCGCGCCCGGAGCCGATGTCGGGCAGGGCGCCGGTGGACTCGGACTTGTGGAGGCCCCGGCCGGCCAGGACCGCGGGGGCGTTCTCGCCCTGGGGAGGGCCCCCCCCGCGATGGAGGGCGGGGAGGGCGGGGCCCTCCGCCGCGGGGGCGTTCTCGCCCTGGGGAGGGCGCCCCCCGCGATGGAGGGCGAGGAGGGCGAGGTCCTCCGCGCTCTTCCTCGCCGTCCCTCGCCGCCCCTCCTCGCCCCCCTCGCCGACCTCGCCCTCCTCGCCCTCCCGACAGCGGCCTGGAGCCACGTCGTGGGCCAGCTGCCGAGGGAGGCCGGCCCCCGGAAACCAGAAGCGCCCAGCACGAGGGCCCCGGGGGTCATGGGCGCGGGACCCGCGCCTCACGCCCACCAGGAGAGAGAGGAGGGCGAGGAAGACGAGGAGCGGCACTGGCAAGCAAGGGAAGGGCGGACAAAGGAAGGTGGACGACGGCCCGAGGTGAGAGGACCGAGGAAAAGCAACGGTGGAGTAGACGAACTCCGCTGCCCTTCAAGAGGGCCGCTCAGACATCGGACAGCAAGGCAAAATAACCCCGGAAGATATCTAGCACCCCCCACAGTGGTCACGAACAATCGTTTCGACGCCCTTTATTGACGGACTGGGCCCCAACAAGAGCAGAATAACAGTAATTGTTCACCCGCGGCACCCGCCACGCAACAACCACGACGACGACGACGACGAGATGAAAGAGGAGATTGTGAACAACGCCTTCGGCGAAAAATGTCTCGACGTATACTGCAATACTCTTACAAACGTGCTCAAAATCCCTCTGTCGTGGAGGGTAGGTAGCCCAGGGAGCAGTATCCCCTGGGAGAAAAAGTCCGCCCCCCACATTATACAGCCAGCCCAACAATAGACGGAACATAAACTCCGCGGCGACGACAACGACGCTTACGACCACGACTAACATTACGACTACGACTGAGACTACAACCACGACGACGATAGCGACTACAATCAGAACTACAATCATGACTACAACCAAAGACATAGATTTCGAATGCATTCCTCGTGAAAAGATGCCGTTGAATCTTCTCGCGTGTAGTAGGCGCAGTAGTAGAAGATGTAGTAGTAGTACTACTACTACTACTACTACTACTACTACTACTACTACTACTACTACTACTACAAAGACTACTACTACTCCTCCTACTACTACTACTACTACTACTACTAGACTACTAATACTACTACTACTACTACTACTACTACTACTACTACTACTACTACTACCGCTACTACTACTACACTACTACGACTACGACTACTACTACTACTACTACTACTACTACTACTACTACTACTAATCGTAAAAGTGAGAGCAGCAGCAATGCTAGTGGTAGCAGTAGCAATAAGAAGAAGAATGATGGTGGTACTAATAATAGTAGTAGTAGTAGTAGAAGTTCTAGTAGTAGTAGTAGTAGTAGTAGTAGTAATAGTAGTAGTAGTAGTAGTAGTACTAGTCGTAGTCGTAGTAGTGGTAGTAGTAGTAGTAGAAGTAGTAGTAGTAGTAGCAGTAATAGTAAGTAGTGATAGTAATCGAACTGGACGTAGTACAAGTAGTAGCGGTAGTAGCAGCAACAGCAACAGCAGTAATAGTAGTAGTAGTGAGTAGTAGTAGCAGCAGTAGCAGTAGCAGCAGCAGCAGCAGCAGCAGTAGTAGTAGTAGTAGTAGTAGTAGTAGTAGTAGTAGTAGTAGTAGTAGTAGTAGTAGTAGTAGTAGTAGTAGTAGTAGTAGTAGTAGTAGTAGTAGTAGTAAGTAGTAGTAGAGTAGTAGTAGTAGTAGTAGTAGTAGTAGTAGTAGTAGTAGTAGTAGTAGTAGTAGTAGTAGTAGTAGTAGTAGTAGTAGTAGTAGTAGTGGTAGTAGTAGTAATCGTCGTAGTAGTCGTAGTGGTCGCAATAGTAGTAGCCGTTGTAATAACAATCGTAGCAGTAGTAGCAACATTTTAAAGTTAGCCTGACGAAGGACCCAACATATGCAGGTGTGAGTACCGCAATTGTGATTCCCTTTTTCGGTGGTGATCCCTATGAGGCAACGAACCGTGCTAGGGGTGTGCCGAAATGAGTGGCGTGGTACACAACGCGAACGAAAACGATTGATCTGAGTACGTAGGGAGAGCGAACGCGGGTGAATCTGAGCGCGAGTGCGTCTGACTGTGAATGAATCTGCGTGCGAACGAGCCTACGTGCATGAATGCGACTATGACAAAGCATGGTGCCATTGTATATGAATCTCAATGGTTTGAGAATGACTGCCTCTGAGTACTCGTGACGCTGGGCGTGGCCGCCGCAAGGAGCTTCCCCGGGACTCCCCGATGGCATCGCCCGCGCGCCGCGACGCCACCGCGAGGATCGCGCCCGATTCCTCCCCTTCTTTTACTCCCTCTTTGCCCGCGCACTCAAAAGTCCCAGCGCAGCGCGGAGTCCCAGCGACGCGCGCCGGTCGCCCCGGAGGGGTCCCAGCGACGCGCGCGGGTCGTCCGCTGCGCGCAGCAAAGAGAGCTAGCTGGCTGGCTGATAGCGGGCAAGGCTCTTGCCGCTGGGCAGAGCGACGACGGGCGAGCGAGGCGCGGAACTCCGACGGCCTCCGACGGTGGTGTATTGGGTGGGGGAGACGCATGCGGACTGCGCCACGGGGACCTTCGGTGGAGCTCCCTATGGGGCCACGAAACGCGTGAAGGGTGTGCCGAAATTGGTGTGCGGGACGAATGCGGGCACACCCACCCGGACCTTCGGTGGAGCTCCGTATGGGGCCACGAAACGTGTGAGGGGTATGCCGAAATGGGTGTGCGGGACGCATGCGGGCACACCCACTGGGACCTTCGGTGGAGCTCCCTATGGGGCCACGAAACGTGTGAGGGGTGTGCCGAAATGGGCGTGCGGGACGCACGTGGGCACACCCACTGGGACCTTCGGTGGAGCTCCCTATGGGGCCACGAAACGTGTGAAGGGTGTGCCGAAATGGGTGTGCGGGACGCATGCGGGCACACCCACTCGGACCTTCGGTGGGACTCCCTATGGGGCTACGGAACGTGTGAGGGGTGTGCCGAAATGGGTGTGCGGGACGCATGCGGGCACACCCACTGGGACCTTCGGTGGAGCTCCCTATGGGGGCCACGAAACGTGTGAGGGGTGTGCCGAAATGGGTGTGCGGGACGCATGCGGGCACACCCACTGGGACCTTCGGCGGAGCTCCCTATGGGGCCACGAAACGTGTGAGGGGTGTGCCGAAATGGGCGTGCGGGACGCATGCGGGCACACCCACTGGGGCCTTCGGTGGAGCCCCCTTATGGGACCACGAAACGTGTTGAGGGGTGTGCCGACATGGGTGTGCGGGACGCATGCGGGCACACCCACTGGGACCTTCGGTGGGGCTCCCTATGGGGCCACGAAACGTGTGAGGGGTGTGCCGAAACGGGCGTGCGGGACGCATGCGGGCACACCCATTGGGACCTTCGGTGGAGCTCCCTCTGGGGCCACGAAACGTGTGAGGGGTGTGCCGAAATGGGTGTGCGGGGCGCATGCGGGCACACCCACTGGGACCTTCGGTGGGGCACCCTGTGGGGCCACGAAACGCGTGAAGGGTGTACCGAAATGGGCGTGCGGGACGCATGCGGGCACACCCACTGGGACCTTCGGTGGAGCTCCCTATGTGGCCACGAAACGTGTGAGGGGTGTGCCGAAATGGGTGTGCGGGACGCATGCGGGCACACCCACTGGGACCTTCGGTGGGGCGCCCTGTGGGCCACGAAACGTGTGAGGGGTGTGCCGAATGGTGTGTGCGGGACGCTTGCGGGCACACCCACTGGGACCTTCGGCGGAGCTCCCTATGGGGCCACGAAACGTGTGAGGGGTGTGCCGAAATGGAGGAGGAAGGAGGGGGAGGAGGAGGAGATGAGGAGAGGAGACGCGGGCCACCGTCTCTTCAAAACGATGACCCAACACCACAGGATGGTTGGGAAAAAATCGAAATAGTAGCCGTAGTAGTCGTAAAAGTAGTAGTAGTAGTAGTAGTAGTAGTAGTAGTAGTAGTAGTAGCAGCAGTAGTAGTAGTAGTAGTGGTGGTAGTAGTAGTAGTAGTAGCAGCAGCGGTACTAGTAGCACTAGAAGTCGTAGTAGCAGTAGTATTAGCAGCAGTGCTGATCAGTAGTAGTAGTAGTAGTAGTAATAATAGTAGTAGTCGTAGTAGTAGTAGTAGTAGTAGTAGTAGTAGTAGTAGTAGTAGTAGTAGTAGTAACAGTATTAGTACTAGCAGGGATAATAATATTAGTATTTGCTGTAGTAGTAGTAGTAGTTGTTGTTGTTGTTGTTGTCAGTGTCGTAATCGTCGCCGTCGTCGTAGTCGCAGTAGTCGTAATACTAGTACGAATAAAAAATTAGCCTGGCGAAGGACCCAACCATATGCAGTTGAGAGTACCGCAATTGTGAATATCTTCTTCGGTGGCGCTCCATATGGGGCCACGAGCCGTATGGGGGGTGTGCCGAAATGCGTGGCAGTGTACACAACACGAACGAAGACGATAGGTCCGAATATGAAAGCTTGAGCGCGTGCGAGTCGGATCGCGAGCGAGTCTGATTATGAATGAATCTGCGCGCGATTGATTCTATTCGCATGAATGCGTGCATGGATACGCCCAGTGTAAATGTATGTATACGACTGTGAACAGTTTGGGTCTGCGTGACTCTCGGTACTCGTGACTCTGAGCGTCGCCTCTGCAGGGGGCTTCCCTGGGAACCCCGACGGCAGCGCCCGCGCGCCGCGAAGCCCATGTCGGCACGCCACACACCTGGTGTGCGGGACGCATGCGGACGGCAGCACTGGGGCCTTCGGTGGAGCTCCCTGTGGGGCCACGAAACGTGTGAGGGGTGTGCCGAAATGGGTGTGCGGGACGCATGGCGGACGGCAGCAATGGGGCCTTCGCGTGGAGCCTCCCCTATGGGCCACGAAACGTGTTGTGTATGGTGTGCCCGAAATGGGTGTGCGGGACGCATGCGGACGGCAGCACTGGGGCCTTCGGTGGAGCTCCCTGTGGGGCCACGAA